TACTTCGGTTGCTACGGCTACTGTTACTAGTACTACAACTACTACGTTTACAACTACTAGCTACTAGCTACTACTACGATTACGACGACTACTACTATAACTACTACGACTACGACTACTACGACTACTACTATTACTACTAGTACTACTACTACTACTACCACTATTACGGCTACGATTGTCACTGCTACTACGACTACCGCTACTATTACTACCACTACTATTACTACTACTACGGCTACTACGGTTTACTACTGCTACTACTACGACTACTACTACTGCTGCTACTACTACTACTACTACTACTACTACTACTACGACTAGTACGACTATTACTACGATCTACGCACTACTACTTACGACGACGACGACGACGACGACGACGACGACGACGACTACTACTACTACTACTACTACGGCCACTCCTGCTGCTATTACTATTACTACTACTATCACGATTACTATTATTACTACTACTACGACCACCACTACTACTACTTCGACGACCACTCCCGCAGGACGAAAGATTTCCCTTTTGAGGTTCAAATGGCGATGACGAGTTGGAAATTGATGACCGAACCCCCTGCCCCCGTATAATGTTAACACGGGCGGGTTCCGGTGTCCGCGGTTCTTGTTTGTTCCGGCTTCCCGTGCAAATTTAATAATGAAAGTATAAAGCGGGTTAAAATTTGAACCCGCATTAGAAAATAAAACCTGACACGGATCCAGCAAATCCGAAACCGAATCCGCGCGGATGGACATCGGATCCACCGAGACAAACCCCAAAGCCATACCTGGATCCGCGCGAACTTCATGGGATCCGACGGCGGTTATCTCACGCGCGTTTGCTCAAGACGTCGACCGTCGCGCCGGGCCCAAGAGGGAAGACACTTTCGCCTTGGGGATGTACTACTACTACCACCATCACTACTACTACTACTACTACTACTACTATTACTACTACTACTACTACTACTACTACTACTTCTACTTTTACTTCTACTTCTACTACTACTACTACTACTACTACTACTACTACTACTACTACGACAACCACTACACAACCACTACCACTACTACTCCTACTACTGCTACGACTATTACTACTACTGCTGCTACTACATCTACTACCATTACTACCCCTACTACTACTACGACTACGATGGCTACTACTACTACGAATAATAATAATACCACTATTAGTACTACTACTACTACTACTACCACTACTACTACTACTACTACTTTTACTACTACTATGACTACTACGACTACGACTACTACTATGACTACTACTACTACTACTACTACTACTACTACTACTACTACTACTGCTACTACTCCAACTATTATTACTACTACTACTACGATTACTACTACCTTTACTACGCCTACTACTACTACTACCAGTACTACTACAACTGCTACGACTACTACTGCTACTACTACTACTACTACTCCTACGACTACTTTTCCACATCTTACCACTATCACGACTACTGTTACGACAATTTCTACGTGTACCTTACTTCTTCTACGACTAGAACTACTACTATTACTACTACTACTACTATTACTACTACTATGTCTACTACTACTACTACTACTACTACTACTACTACTACTACTATTTCTAGTAGTAGTACTACTACTACTAGTACTACTACTAGTACTACTACTACTACTACTACTACTACTACCACTACCACTACTACTACTACTACTACTGTTACTACTACGACTACTACGACTACCACTACTATTACTACTAGTACTACTGTCACTACTACTACTACTACCACTACTACTACTACTACTACTACTACTACGACTACTACTACTACTACTACTACTACTATTACTACTATCACCACTACGACTATCACCATTCTTATTACTACGTCTACTAGTATTATTACTGTTACTACTACTCGTAATCGGATCTCGCAAGCGCGGGTCAGCGTTAGGATGTGCAGAATGCGGGCAAGGATATGATCATCATCGTCATCATCACCGTCATCAGCAACATTCTGTATGCTGCGATCTGCCAGGCAAGCGTTTCATTTTCCCTCTAGGACCCCGAATTGTATTATCTCCGGGGGTTCAACATCAGGGACATCGGGTTATTTGGCGGGTCTGTCCCGCAGCAGCCGCTGTCGGTCTCGGACGGTATCCGTTGTCGGGCGCCGCCCCAAACCATATCGTTTGGTCCCGATTTGGAGCGCGTCTTCCATCGAAAACAAAGAAACAATCTTTGCTGCACGAGCGTTGATCCTTGGATTCCGCGCGGATTTCTTGGATGTGCGTTGGACATCCGCGGATTTCTTCGATCCGCGCCGGACCCCTTTTGGCGGCGCCGCCGCTAAAGGAGGCAGGCACAGCGCCGATCCACGACATCCGCGCGGACCTCCGAAAGCTTGTATGATGATGATGAGGATGATGATGCTGATGATGACGATGATGATGATGATGATGACACTTCTTTGGTGTTCCTCCACAGGAGTGGGTGGAGAGTGGCGACTACGTCTGCGTCGTGTCGGCGCTGGCCGGCGGGGGCGACCTGTTCGAGGCGCTCGTGGCGAGGGGCCGGGGGTACGAGGACCGGGCTACGAGATCTGCACACATCCCACCGCCTCTGGCCCAGGCCCGTCTTGGGCCCAGGAGTGGTGCATGCACCCCCGTGGCTCGGCCTGGGAGTGACACGCACCTCTCCTGGGTCCAGGGTGGGCAGGGCTGGTGGACCCAGATATCCGACGGTTTGTTCCCAACCATCCTGTGGTATGGGGTCTTCGTTTCGAAGAGACGGTCCCCGCGTCACTCCCCTCCTCCCCCTCCCTCCCCCCAGAATGACCATCATCTCATGTCCTCATCATCATCATCATCATCATCATCATCATCATCATCATCATCATCATCATCATCATCATCATCATCATCATCATCATCGTCATCGCAAGTTTCAGCACCTACCGCATCCACCACAACTATTGCGGCACACCCCTCACACTTTTCATGCCCCCACAGGGAGCTCCACCGAAGGCCCCAGTGGCACCGTCCACGTGCGTCCGCTACACCCATTTCGACACACCCCTCACACGCTTCGTGGCCCCATAGGGAGCTTCACCGAAGGCCCCAGAGGTACCGTCCACCTGCGTCCGCCACATCAATTTCGGCACACTCCCCACACGTTTCGTGGCCCCTCCACCGAAGGCCCCAGTGGCACCGTCCACATGCGTCCGCCACACCATTTTCAGCACACCCCTCACACGTTTCGAAGGCCCCAGTGGCACCGCCCACATGCGTCCGCCACAACATTTTCAGCACACCCCTCACACGTTTTGTGGCCCCATAGAGAGCTCCACCCAATGCCCCGTTGGCACCGTCCACATGCGTCCGCCACACCTATCGCGGCACACCCCCCACACTTTCCGTGGTCCCATAGGGAGCTCCACCGAAGGCCCCAAAGGTACCGTGCACATGCGTCCGCCACAACATATTCGGCACACACCTCACATGTTTCGTGAGCCCCACCGAATGCCCCAGTGGCACCGTCCACATGCGTCCGCCACACCCACTTCGGCACAGCCCTCGCACATTTCGTGGCCCCATCGGGATCTCCGCCGAATGCCCCAGTGGCACCGTCCACTTGCGTCCGCCGCACCCATGTCAGCACACCCCTCACACGTCTCGTGGCCTCATAGGGCGCTCCACCGAAGGCCCCAAAGGTACCGTGCACATGCGTCCGCCACAACATTTTCGGCTCACACCTCACATGTTTCATGTCCTCATAGGGAGCTCCACCGAAGGCCCAAGTGGCACCGTCCACACGCGTCCGCCACACCCATTTCGACACACCCCTCACACGTTTCGTGGCCCCATAGGGCGCTCCACCCAAGGCCCTAGTGGCACCGTCCACATGCGTCCGCCACACCAATTTTGGCACACCCCTCACACGTCTCGTGGCCTCATAGGGGGCTCCACCGAAGATGATACTCACGACTGCGGTGCTCACAGCTGCATATGGTTGGGTCCGTCGCCAGGCTAATTGTTTTTAAATGCGGGGTCCCCGCAAGCCTCGAGCCCGAACCGTTTTTTGTTGACGGTTCCGCGGTCCTGCGAGGGCCCCCGGATGCCGAAAGTTTTCCAAACAACATGTTTTTCCGCGACGCAAGGAGGTTTGAGTGTTGGACCATCACTCGGATCTTTGGCGGCTGGGACGATCGGGTCAGTCCCCGAACGCCCTCGCCGAGACGCAGCTGCCGAAATGCATCCCGGGGCCTGGAAATCTTTCGGGGAATTGGCGAAGACACGCGAACACCTCTGACTTCGCACCTCGAGGGCCGACGAGGGCCAAACACCTTCCGCCGTGATGCTGGCTTACGACGCAAGCATGAATGGGGAGGGGCGGTCAGGAAATTATGCTTGACGCGTCTCGAAGAACAAAAAACAGCATCAACACAAACTTTCGCAGGTCCGCGCGGATCCGAGACATCAGCGCGGATAGGCGAACGTTTATGTTTATGCTTTTTTTGTTGAACTAGCGTCGCCCCGCCGGTTCTGGCCCATCACGCATCGGCGCGACACGCTAACCACGTCCCGGTCCCCGAGCTTCAACGTCCGGGAGCTCTCCCGAGCCTCCCACACAGTCTCGGCTTTAGGATCTCTAGATCCAGGGCGCAGCCAAGACACGAAGCCCGATGCATTCCAGTGACAGCAGGGCGAGACCAGACCTGTGGTCCTCACCACAGGACCCGGGACGTGAGCAAGGGGTCGCCACACGCCCACGTGGAATCGAGGGAACTGCAAAAGTGATTGCGAGTCACGCGTTTGAAACCGAGATCAAGCAGGAATTCGGCAAGTTCTCGCGAGAACGATCTGGACATGCCGGGGAAGTGCGACAAGAGAGCGCCCCACACCCCTGCGCGGGCAGACCGCGGCGGCAGGATCGCGGAGAAGCCGCCAGGTCGCGACGCAGACTTACCTGGGCGCCGACGTCGCCCGCAGACGTGATCAATGCGAACGGAAACTCGGGTCAGCCGACGCTTTTTGTTCAGACTGGGTCGCGTCATTTTCGTGACGGCCCCGCCAGGCCAACCCGAGTCCCCCGAACCCGAGTCTTACGTCTCACCGATGAAGCAGCAGAGCCGATCGGGCAAGAAAGGGCGACCGCGCTCCACGGGCACGGTGCCAGTGCACGGGCCCGCTAGCTCCGCCCACGGCGCGCCCGTCTCTGGCCCGATTGGCCTCTCTGGGAAACGGAAACGGGAGAGAGGGGGAGAGGGAAGAGGAGGGGGGAGCGGGGGAAGCGGGGGAGAGAATGGATGTGGGGCCCCGCGGCGCCGGCGAAGCCGCTCATCATGTTCCGGCCTTCCGAATGGCAAGACAGACTCGCCTCCAGCGCCACAGAGGCCCTCCTGGCGGAGATGTAGCCGCAGGCGGGTGCAGTGCAGGGCGACCTTCTGCGCCACGCAGTACCGAGGCGGGCGAGCGGGCTGCGCGGGCGCCCAGGAGGCGAGCGCCGCGCTGGCGGCCAGGGAGGGGCAGCCGCCGAGTGCGCTTGCAGCGGGAGCGGCGCGCCGCGCCCACGCGCCGGCCGATCTTGTGCCACGAGTGCAGCGCGGCAACTGGGCATTCCAGAGCTCCCGTGCCATTCATCCTCCTCATCATCGTCCTCATCATCACCGTCACCATTCAGCCCCTCCGCGCTCTCATCATCATCCTCATCATCATCATCATCAGCATCATCAGCATCATCATCGTCATCATCGTCATCGTCGTCATCATGATCATCAGCATCGTCATCATGATCATCATCATCATCATCATCATCAGCATCATCATCATCAGCATCATCATCATCGCCATCGTTATGAACACCATCATTGTTACCATCATCGTCATCATCATCACCAGCATCAGAGTGAAGGGGCCGATCCGTCATTCACTGTATCTGGGCGCGTGGCTGAAGTGAGTTTATGTGTTGCGGAATGTTGTTGTTGTTGCTGTTGTTGTTGTTGCTTTTGCTTTTGCTGTTGTTGTTGATGCTGTTGTTGTTGAGCTCTCACTATTGAAGAATAATTATTGTTGATCCCCCCCCAGGTGCACATTGTATTTTTCAACTGAATTGTGTGTCCCTCCCGGCGCTCGCACCCTGTTTTTTACTAAAGAAAGTCTTCCTTCTCAAACTGTGCCCCTGGCCCCCGGTTTACAACAACAACGGGTCCCGCTTGATAATTCCTCACAATTTACTCCTGTCCCCCGCTCCCGCTTCAGATTTCTTCGCAATTTAATCAAGAATCGCGCTCCTGCCTGAGAAGTCGTCGCAATTTACTCAGGCGCCGCGCTCTTGCCATTCAGGAATCGCGCGTTCGCTCGGGACTTCCTCAAATTGACTTGGGAATCGCTCTCTCGCTGGAAGCTTCCTGGCTAATCATGCAGAACTCACGAACGATCCGCCCGCTCGGCCCGCCCGTCAGGGTCATGCCCTTCGTGCCCCATGCCCGCTCGCGCCCTTTGTGCCTTATTGCTGCCCTTCGTGGCCCCTCCCCTTGTGGCCCAGTCGCTGCCCTTCGTGGACCCGGTGCTGCCTTCAGTGGCCCCTCGCTGCCCTTCGTGGCCTATGTATATATATATATATATATATATATATATATTTACGCCCTTCGTAACCCCAGTCGCCCGTGCCCTCAGTGGCCCCATTGCTGCCCTTCGTGGCCCCGCTGCTACCCTCAGTGGCCCCCTCGCTGTCCTTTGTGGCCCATAGATATATATAATATATGTATATATATATATATATATATATTATATATATATATATATATATTTATATGCATATGCATAATTATGTATATGTATATGTATATGTATATGTGTGTATGTGTGTATGTACATATATATATATATATATATATATACCCATTCAAATAAATTCGAATTAGGCCTTGTGGGTTTGCGTGGGCCCCCGGCTCCCCGAGCCTCCCGGGGGCTCCAAAACGGCACCGGAAGGCCCCCGGAGGGGTCCGAAACGGCGTCGGAGTTCCCCAGAAAAACCCAAGACGGCTTACGGAGGCCCCGAGACGACCCAAGACGGCTTTCAGGCGGCCCAAGATGTTCTCCAGACGGCCCCATACGCCCCAAAGACGCCCCCGGACGGCTCCGGGGGGGCCCGAGGGCTCCCCCAGGAGGGCTCCATCAAGCAAAAATGGCCACATTCCCGTTGTAAAATGCACATTTTCAACAGATTCGACATTTTCCTTTACGAAGCGTCCAAGACAGCCCCAGAGGCCTCCAAGATTGCCCAAGACGGCCCCCAAGAGGGCCCAAAGATGGCTCAGACGGCCCCAGGACGGCCCAAGGGGCGCCCAAGACGGCCCAAGAGGACAACAAGAGGTGCCCAAAAGGGGCCCAAGAGAGCCCAAGATGGCCCCAAGACGGCCCAAGTGGCGCCGAAGGTGGCCCAAGACGGCCCCAAGACGGCCCAAGAGGCGCCATACACGGCCCAAGAGGGCCCCGAGGAGCCCCCAAGAGGCCTAAAAGAGCCCCCATAGAGCTCCCAAACGGACCCTTAGAGGCTTCAAAACTGCCTCCAAGAGAGAGGGGCGGACGAGAGGCGAGAGGCCCTTCGCAGGCGCAAAAGAACAATGTTTTACACTCCCGTGGCCCTGGCGCTGCCCGTCTGCGCTCCCTATTTTGCCGCGACGCCGTTCCGACGCTTCCGACGCGGCCCGAGACGGCGGTTTGACCCGACCCGCTCCCGCGTCAGCCGCGATCCCGACGCATGTCTTCCAACGCTGCTCTGGCTTGGTCTCTTGAACTTTTGCCTCTTGCGAAGCTCGAACACTTCGGCCCCCGCTTCGGTGCATTGGCGGCGCTCAGTGGGGGAACAGCACCAGAACAAGCTTCACAGGATCTACGGCAGTAGCTGGCAGCGTCGCACAACCCAGCACTCGCAACCAAATTTCGATCCGTGCAACTCCGTGGATTTAATCCACGGGTCCACACGAGTATATACATATATATATATATATATAATATATATATATATATATATATATATATATATATATATATATCGCGCCGGAGTGGGGGACCAGGCCGGTGCCACCCTCCCCCATGGGCGCCTCCCGGGACCTTTGGGAAGTCACAGACCCCGCGGGACTGCTCCGGGCCGCTTCCAAATTGCCCACGACAGGCCACGCGGGCCGTACAGATGGTTAAGAGAGCCTCAAGAGGCCCCGAAGACGCCTAAGATGGCCCCAAGACAGCCCAAGACGCCCCCGAAGCTGCCCCAAGAGGCTTCAAAGAAACGTCCCAAGAGAGCCCCGAGAGGCCAAAAGCCATGATTTTCCATTCTGTTTTTCTATGTTTGTTGATTTGATCGCCTTCTCACCTTTCCGACGCTCCAACAAGGCCCAACAGGTCCTCAAGAGCGCCCCAAGACTGCCCGGGAGTCCCCCCAGACGGCATGAAGATGGCCCTGGATAGCCCCAAGACAGCCCCAGAGGGCCCTAGAAAGCCCAAGAGGGCCCCGAGAAGGCTTCCAGAGGGGCCCACGAGCGGGAACAAAACGTTGAATTCAATTTTTCCGGCCTGAAAGCTTCCCAGGAGGCCCCGAGAGAGCACCAAGACGCGCTGAGGAGGCCCCCAAGAGGCCTCGAGGAGGTCCCCAAGAGGCCCCCAAAACACCTCAAGAGGCCCCAACACGAGCGCCACCCCCGCCCCCTCCGTCAAGTTGTGTTCACGCCGCGCTACGCAGACGCCGTCGCGCAAACCTCTCGGGCCTGGGCGGTTCCGGGAGATGTTCCCTGAGGGGCTTCCGGGAACATCTGCTTCAGGGGGGCACGGGAGGCCCAAAGAGCTCCCCAAGAAACTCCCAGGGAAACCCGAAAAGGACCCCCGAGACACCCCAAACCACTCATACTCATGTTCCCAGGAGGCTTTCCCGGAAAATGATTCATCAGGCTTCTGCCCCCCCCCCCCCGAAACAATGCTTCTGAAAGGCCTCGCTCGGAAACGCCACTCTGGCACGGGTGATCCAGATGATGATGACGATGATGGTGATTCTGAGAATGATGATGATGCCGATGCTGATGATGACAGTGGTGATGGTGATGATGATGATTGTGATAATGATGAGTTTGATGATGACGACGATGATGACGACGATGATGATGATGCTGATGATGGTCGCTACGATGCTCATGCTGATCATGGTGATGATGGTGATGCTGAAGCTGAGAATAATGATGAATCTGATCATTGGTATTATTCGTGTTCTTATCAGTATCATGACGAAGATTATTGGGTGATTTTGTTGTTGATGGTAATAATGATCATGACGATGACTATCACCATGCTGGCCACCATGATTATGATTGCACTACTTGTAGATTTGGGTCTAGAGGCTTTGTGAGGTGCCACTTGTCCGTAATGATTACGGCTCAAGTCACGCTGCTTTGAGGAGCCCGTCCTCGATGCACTCAGGCGTCGCCTGGCTCGCCTCCAGCTCAGTTTCCATCGCTGGCGAGCCCAGCTGTCGCCGCGCCATAGGCTCGGCGGCCTACTCGTGCTTGACGGGCGTCGACCCCACTCAGTTTTTCACGTCGGCCGCCTTCGGCCTGGGGGTATTCACAGGAGTTGCGAGTGTGTACTTCGTGAAGGTCGTTTCGCGCTGTGCGCGCTGCAGGGTGCGCGTGGTGTCTGGAGAACATCGGTTGGATGCTCGGCTTGATGGCGGCGATCACCCTCGAGGCAGGTCGGAAGGTCAGCCTGTTCTATCAGCCGGAGCCGCTCCCGGCGCCACCGCCGAAGTGGCACGAGCGGGTCCTCCTCGAGCCCGGCTCGGAGACGGCGATGCAGAAGTGCACGGGCGAGTCCCTGTACAATGGGGGCATGGTCTGGTGGGTGCTCACCCCGGACGGGGACGTGTACCCGGAGGAGTTGGCGGCGCCGCCGCTGGAGGGTATCGCGTACTACGACGACGCGGAGGTGCCCCATCTTCAGTTGCAAGTACGTCCGCTTCCTCCTCCAGTGGCGGCCAACACCCACGGGTTCCGTGCCGACCGCTCAGCTGGACCTCCTACCCCGCTATTGGTGATGAGGGCGATCTCTGACGCTAGGGTGGAGCAACATGCGCTGGACCCAGAGGCAGGTGCTGTTCGCGAGGGTCCCCCTCCAGCGCCAGCCGCTGGACGTGTCATCTGGGTGATCGGGTCCTCGGCCGACGGTGACCCGGAGGCGGAGAATGAGTACACCCACGCCCCAGGCGACATCACGATCGGCCTGGGCGCCTACTGGTTGGTCAAGCGAGGAGCCAAGTGTTTGATACTGCAGGAGGTATTGCGTCAGGACACGGGTATGATCAAACTGCTCCGAGATCAGGAGACCGACGCGAGAGTCATCCCGGTGAAATGGAGGTCGGCCCAACAGCGTGGCCGCAACTTCCGCGAGGCCATCTCGCTCCAGGAGTTCCACGACTTCGGCGACTCGCCGTTGCAGGGTGAGGTGAGCCTTCCTTGGCTGCTCACCGAAGTGGCCCAGTCCTCCGAGGGGATGGTGACGCGCCACCACACATGGCTGTCAGCCAGCGGCATCCCCAGCGGCGACTGCAGCATCCACGAGCATTTCGTGATTTCCAAGGTCTTCGATCTCGCGATCGAGCTGGATCAATTGAACACGATGACTTTGACTTCCTTTGAGCTGCTAGGGCGGCGCCTGCAGCTCATCGAGCAGGCCCACGTGTACAACCCCAGCAATCCCGACTACAGCAATTCGGACGACTTCATGGGCTGGGGCGTCCAGCGTGGCGCCGCCCTGGTGGCGCCGTCTATCAAGAGGCGGGCCGCCGATGCAGCACGAGATCGGGCAGCGGTCCTGAAGGAGGGTCGCAAGCTCGAGGAGGAGATCCGCCTCCGGAAGCCGAAGGGTCGTGGCCGTGGTGGTAAGGGCGGCGGAGAAGGAGACGGGGGCGCCGGCGGCTCCGGCGCAGGGGGGTCATGACCCGCTCGCAGGACCCAGTCGCTCCCTTGGAGACTCCGGCGGCTGGGTTCAAGTATGAGAAGGGGTCTCGCCTACCTGTACAAGTTCCCCGTGACCTCTTCCCTCTTCCTGAGCTCGAGGTCGAACATCTTCAAGATCACAGCGTGAGTCGCTCGGTGCAGCGACGAGTTTTGAAGCGGAGTGCTGTGGACGCCGAGGTCAATCGTACGATCAAGGCCCTCAATGCTCTCGATGGCCATTTGACGCCATCATCTTCCCCGCCCTCGCTGTGTCAGCGAGAGGCCATCCAATTCATTCGTTCAGTGCACGACGCAGCCGAGCCGCCGCAAGGTGACTACGGCTCCGAGGGAGCCGTCCGCGCGCTCCTCGGGACAGACTCCGCGTACGGTGGCGAGTCGACCTTGGTGCAGTCCTACGACCGGAACCTTCTCAGCATCCCACACGTGGGGGCGGAGCCCGTCCCCGTCAAGGAGATGCTGCCGCCGAAGGTTCGCTGTTGTCTCGAGGACCTGAACAACATTCTGCTCGATGATCAAGAGTGGGGCGCCGTGTGTGAACGGGCGGATCCCATCAATCTCTACATGGATCCGAAGCTTCGCTACTCCAAGAAGGCCTATTTTCAGTTTGTCCGAGACTGTCACTCGGCCGGCCTTATCCGCTGGGCGCCTCTGGTACGTGGGAGAGTCACGGTTTTCTGTGTGGCCAAGAAGACGGGCAAGCAGAGGCTCGTGGTGGACTGCCGCGCTACCAACAGGCGCTTCCGGCGGTGCCCTTACTTGCCTATGGGTACCGGGTCGAGCTGGGGAGAGATTCTCCTGGAGGACGACGCAGACCTCTGGGTGAGCCTGTCGGACATCAAGGACTACTTCTACGCCTGCGGCATCGACGATGACCTCTCCAGCTACTTTTGCCTCGACGACGTCCCAGGTTGGCTCGTCTCCGAGCTGGAGGGTAACGACAGCCGCTTCAGCCAGTTTTACGGGCGCGACGCCGTTGCGCCCGCCTTCCGAGTGCTCCCCATGGGATTCAGCTGGAGCTTCTACCTGGCACAGATCGTCCACTCCTCCGTCGTCAAGGGGGTGCTCCCGGACACAGCTGGATTGGTACTTCAGGATCGCCGGCCTGGCCCGACGATCGGCGCCCGCGGCCTCGTGTCCTTGCCTTACTGCGACAACCGCGCCACCGGGGCGGGCTCCCCGGAGCTTGCCGACGGCGCCCGCATCGCAGTGGCTCGCCAGCTCACGGCCGACGGCTTCGCAGTACACGAGGAGGAGGACGCCTCCCTCTGGGCCGAGAGCCTCGGCTTCGCCATCGACGGCTTGACTGGCGAGGTGGGGCCCACCGCCAAGAGGGCGACCCGCCTGGCCGCCGCGGGCCGATGGCTTGCGCGCCGCCCCAGGATCACAGGCGTGATGCTTGAGCGCTTCCTGGGGCATTGCACTTTTCAGCTCATGGGCGAGCGCTCGCTGCTGAGCATCTTTGGTGCATGCTATCGCTTTGTCAGGGTGCATTATAAGCAGAAGGTCCGCTTGTGGCAGTCAGCCGCGCGGGAGTGCGAATGGCTGTCAGCTCTAGTCCGTTTTGCTCGCACCAACCTGCGTCGGCCGTGGAGCCCCACGGCCCACATGTTCGACTCGTCGGAGACAGGCCTTGGGATCGTCCAGGGCGTTTTCGACGAGAAGCTCATCGCCGGTACTGGCCAGTACAACGAGCGGTGGCGTTTCAAGCAGCCTCATGCGCTCGCGAGGGGCGTGCGTGCGGGAGCTCTCTGGCACTTCCGAGATGCGATCGAAAATGTGGAAACAGTACTCCCTATCGCACCGCCGACCCCTCGTCCCTGGAAGAGAAGGCGCGGGTTCCCGGAGGTCCCCACAAAGATGCTCGAGAAGGACTCCTGGCACACCATCCTGTCAAAGCCCTGGTTTCGGGACGAGCACATCACCCTGCTGGAGGCCCGTACTGGGAGATTGGTTTGCAAGTCTCTTGGGAGGTCTGTTGGGAACCGCAACAAGAAGCACCTCATCCTCGGGGACTCCATGGGCTCCATCCTGGCCTTCTCCAAGGGGCGCAGTGGGGATTACCGTATGCTGGGTTGTTGTAGAAGTGTTGCGGCTTACACGGTCGCCCTCAATTGCAAGTTCAAATGGCGTTGGATCGTGTCTGAAGTTAATCATGCTGATGCGCCTTCTCGGATGTTCGAACCCTCAGTCCCGCAGCGGACGCACCACGGACGTAAATCTTTCCCTTCCTCTTCTTCTACCTGTAACCACCTGGCTCGCAGTGGAGAGTTTCCCACGATCGATGCTCCGAGCACCGACTCGGGCGCCAGCTCCAACGAGGGCAACACAAGTGCATGTGCTGAGGCCCGCGGGGCCCGCGTCCCATCGCAGGCGGCTCCCAGCGCCACCGGAGGGCGTGTTGTCCGTCGTTGCAGTATCGACGAGCTCATCGAGATCGGCCGCGCCGCCGGTGGCAGGCCTGCTTCAGCCGCCGAGGGACCACCCTTCGGCGCAGCGGAGTCGCCGCCTGCGGGAGGACCGTGCCAAGGTTCGGAGGGCGAGACACGCTGTCCCAGCGGGGGGTGTGACTCCCGGGCCGCTCCTGCTCAAGAGGGATCCTCACCAGCTCAGTATCTTGGAGCAGGCGTCGGTTCAGCCCCAGCAGGCAGCCACATACAGGGCGACCTACGCCGAGTTCGCCAAGTGGGCTGCGAACGAGGGCATCTCCTTGCACTCGGACGAGGACGTGGACGCGGCGGCGGTCGACTACCTGGACGCGATCTACCTGCAGGGCTACGAGGCGTCGTCGGGGGACAAGCTCCTCGGGGCCCTCAAGTTCATCAGGAGCGGAGGCCCTCGCCCTCTAGCCCTGCCGCTGACGCGGATGAGGAGGGCGCTGAGGGGCTTCCGCAAGGCCGCCCCCGGCGCCTCTCGCTTTGGGCTGCCTTGGGAATGGACGGCCGCCATAGCGGGGACCTTGCTGGCCACGAGGCGGCGGGATGCGGCCCTGTGCTTGCTGACGGCCCACGATGCGTATTCCCGACCTGGGGAGATTACAGACCTGCAGGTTGGGGATGTGGTGCTGCCTACGCCCCGCCTCCGGGGCTACCACCGCCTCTGCCTGGTCATGCGGCCGGAGGAGAGGGGGCAGCCGCGCAAGACGGGGAGCTTCGACGACACGGTCTCGGTCGAGGACCTGGACGCGCACATCTCATCCCACCTGGTACAGTTGGCGAAGGGGAGGGACCCGAGCGAGAAGCTGTTCCGCCTGTCGATCAGCCAGTACAAGGAGGCGTTCGAGAACGCCGCCGACCTCGTCGGGCTGGCCGCCGAGCAGCTCTGCACGTACCAGGTGAGGCACGGAGGTGCGTCGAGGGATGCCATGCTGAGGAGGCGCGACCTCTCCGAGATCCAGAAGCGCGGGGGCTGGAAGACGTTCAACTCCGTCAGACGCTACGAAAAGTTTGGGAAGGTGCAGCAGGCGATGAACCGCACACCGTCGGACACTCTGACCTACAGCCGCCTCGCCGTGCAGTACCTCGACGAGTGGCTCCATGGACGTTCTACGCAGCTCAACCGACCTCCTCGGACGATAGGCCGTCGCCTAGTCGGAAAGCGGCCGAGATCTTTGCAGGCTCCGGGAGGCTAGCCAAGGCGCTCGCTGGTAGGGGAATTCCATGTGAAGGTTGGGACATACTAGACGGACCGTCGCGTGACCTCACGCTCCCAAGTAGCCAGGGCAGACTGATGAGGGGCATCCGTCATCGTAGGTACTGCCATCTCCACTTTGCGCTGCCCTGTCAGACCCTCTCGCGAGCTCGGCGCCCCGGAGGCTCTGGTCCTCCCCCTCTCAGGTCGAACACTTTTCCTTGGGGATACCCCGACCTGGAGGGCGCGGGCCTCTGCAAAGTTGCTGCTGCTAATAAGCTCATTGCTTTTGTGATCAAAGCCTGTCGGTTAGCTGCGAAAAAAGGTATCACAGTTACGATCGAGAATCCTCTCACGTCAATTTTGTGGGTGATTCCCGAATTCATGCAGTTGCTCAGTGAATTGCACTTTTCCACCGCTCGGCTTGACTTCTGCATGTTCGGAGAACGCTGGCGGAAAGCCACAAAATTTGTTGGCACCGTCCCTGGCCTCAGCTCGCTGACACGAAAATGTACTACGTCGCTTTGTTCTAGAACTAAGTTGCCACACTGGGCGTTGGAAGGCAAAGACCCCACTGGAGTCTTTTGGACAAAGCGCGCTGAACCCTACCCTCCCGCCCTTTGCTCACTGCTGGCCAAGACTATTGCCAGAACACATAAGGTGGGATAGGGCAGTGGCACTGTGCTCACTCTCGCTGCAGCAGGCTGCCCACGCTCGTGGCTGCCCAGTGCCCTCAGTTGGTCAGGTAATCCTTTCTAAGCTCTGGCGCCGGTGAAAAAGCATCGTCGACCTTGCACTACTTGTAGATTTGGGTCTAGAGGCTTTGTGAGGTGCCACTTGTCCGTAATGATTACGGCTCAAGTCACGCTGCTTCCTCCTCCTCCCCTCCGCCTCCTCTTCACCTTTTTCAAAGGGCAGTGGCACTGTGCTCACTCTCGCTGCAGCAGGCTGCCCACGCTCGTGGCTGCCCAGTGCCCTCAGTTGGTCAGGTAATCCTTTCTAAGCTCTGGCGCCGGTGAAAAAGCATCGTCGACCTGATTATGCTGCTGCTGATGATGCTTGTCGCCCTGACACTTTCACGAAGCATGAAAAGGCCCGTCAGAAAGCTTCCACGGACGGCGCAGGAGGACGGGGAGGAGGCAACCCAGGAGACGGCTTCAGGAGAAGGACCCTAGGGCCCCCCAGGAACCCCCTGGAGGCCATCAACCAAGCGGGAAAGGGAGCCGTGGCGCAGCTGCATCCTGGGATGCACACAGTGCCCATTGACCACGTCTTCGGAGTCGACTAGAACCTAAGCGCGCGCGAAGCGCGCGCGTGGTTCTATATATATATATATATACATATATGTATATATACATATATATATATATATATATATATATACATATACATATATGTATATGTATACGCCCTTGGTGGCCCCCTGCCGCTCATGCCCTCAGCGGCCCCATTGCTGCCATTCGTGGTCCCAGTGTAGCCCCGTGTGCCTCCCCCCCGCTGCCCTCAGTGGCCCCATCGCTGCCCCTTCTGGCCCATAGATTCGCCCTTCGTGCCCCCCAGTCGCTCGTGCCTTTAATGGCCCCATGGCTGACCTTCGTGGCCCTGGCGTAGGCCCTTTGTGGCCCACACATATTCCTTCTACCTATCAAATTACAAGGAAAAACCCGGCATGTCACCGACACCCCCCCCCACATGGACCCCAGATGAACCCCACAGGCTCCCAAGAGAGCCCCACAATGCTTCGAGACGGCCCAAAATACCCCGAAGAGAGCGACACGAGGCCTACATCGGGAGCCCAAGACAGCAGAAGGCACTTCCGAGACGTCCTCTGCAAGGCCCAAGAGGCCCCAAGACGGCCCCATAGTGCTCCAACAGGACCAAACATGGGCTCAAGACTGTCCAGGATGCCCCCGCAAAGACCTCCAACACGGCCTCAGCAGGCCAAAAACCTTAATTTTCCATTTATTTTTGAACGATTCTGTGCTTCTCGCCTTTTCTGGCCACGAACGGCCCAATAATGATCTGCGAGCTTCCGAGGTCGCCCCGAAATGGCTTCCAGGCGGCCCAATGGGGCCCCAAGATGGGTCAATAAAGCGCAAAGAAAGCCAGGGAGCGCCCAAGAGACCCCTAAAAGACCCCCAAGAGGGCTCCAACAGAGTCACGGGATGCTTCAGAGAGGGCCCGAGAGAGCCCCAACACGGCCCCAGGACGGCCCAAGCCCCCCCAGACAGCCCACGAGGGCCCCAGGACAGCCCAAGAAGGCCCTCCGATGGTATACAAAAGCACCAACAGGAGCTCCACTCAGTCTTAGAGCCGTCAAATTCTTTACACTCTGATTGACCTGAGCGGCCCCCCCCATCGCCCTGAAGAACCCACGAGACTCCTGGACGGTCCAAGAAGACCCCACCACGGGCCTACGACCAGGCTTCCTCTTGCTCTTCCTCCTCCTGCTCCTCTCTCTCCTGTAGTTCGCTGTCTTCCTTCTCCGCTGCCTTCTGAAGGGCCCCAGATCTGAGACTCATATCCAAGCTCCCCAAAGACACCAAGGCGCCACAAGACACACCTCGGGGGCCCCAAAGAGATCCCACGACAGGCTTCCAGGGTCCGGGGAACCACAATTTGATGCGCAGTTTTCCTTTCGTCTCAGAAGCCCACGGAACACTCGCGAAAACTAAAACATACCCCAGACCCCAGACTGCTATCACCAGCTCCCCTGAAGAACCCACGAGACTCCTGGACGGCCCAAGAAGACCCCACCACGGGCCTACGACAAGGCTTCCTCTTGCTCTTCCTCCTCCTGCTCCTCTCTCTCCTGTAGTTCGCTGTCTTCCTTCTCCGCTGCCTTCTGAAGGGCCCCAGATCTGAGACTCATATCCAAGCTCCCCAAAGACACCAAGGCGCCACAAGACACACCTCGGGGGCCCCAAAGAGATCCCAAGACAGGCTTCCAGGGTCTGGAGAACCACAATTTGATGCGCAGTTCTCCTTCCGTCTCAGAAGCCCACGGAACACTCGCGAGAACTAAAACATACCCCAGACCCCAGACTGCTATCACCAGCTCCCCTGAAGAACCCACGAGACTCCTGGACGGTCCAAGAAGACCCCACCACGGGCCTACGACCAGGCTTCCTCTTGCTCTTCCTCCTCCTGCTCCTCTCTCTCCTGTAGTTCGCTGTCTTCCTTCTCCGCTGCCTTCTGAAGGGCCCCAGATCTGAGACTCATATCCAAGCTCCCCAAAGACACCAAGGCGCCACAAGACACACCTCGGGGGCCCCAAAGAGATCCCACGACAGGCTTCCAAGGTCTGGGGAACCACAATTTGATGCGTAGTTTCCTTTCGTCTCAGAAGCCCACAGAACACTCGCGAAAACTAAAACATACCCCAGACCCCAGACTGCTATCACCAGCTCCCCTGAAGAACCCACGAGACTCCTGGACGGCCCAAGAAGACCCCACCACGGGCCTACGACAAGGCTTCCTCTTGCTCTTCCTCCTCCTGCTCCTCTCTCTCCTATAGTTCGCTGTCTTCCTTCTGCGCTGCCTTCTGAAGGGCCCCAGATCTGAGACTCATATCCAAGCTCCCCAAAGACACCAAGGCGCCACAAGACACACCTCGGGGGCCCCAAAGAGATCCCAAGACAGGCTTCCAGGGTCTGGAGAACCACAATTTGATGCGCAGTTCTCCTTCCGTCTCAGAAGCCCACGGAACACTCGCGAGAACTAAAACATACCCCAGACCCCAGACTGCTATCACCAGCTCACCTGAAGAACCCACGAGACTCCTGGACGGTCCAAGAAGACCCCACCACGGGCCTACGACCAGGCTTCCTCTTGCTCTTCCTCCTCCTGCTCCTCTCTCTCCTGTAGTTCGCTGTCTTGCTTCTCCGCTGCCTTCTGAAGGGCCCCAGATCTGAGACTCATATCCAAGCTCCCCAAAGACACCAAGGCGCCACAAGACACACCTCGGGGGCCCCAAAGAGATCCCACGACAGGCTTGAAGGGTCTGGGGAAGCACAATTTGATGCGCAGTTTTGGCTTCTTGGAGGGCGCCGTGGAGGGCTCGAAGGGCACGTGGATCCGTCTTGAGGACTCTTGGAGGTGTGTCGGAGGCTATCTTGACCCATCTTGAGGTATCTTGGGCCATCTTGGAGGCCATCTTGCGACTTGGAGCGCCTCTTGGAGCCATCTTGAGCCATCTTGGACGCTCTAACGCCTCCATCCCCCCCCCCTCCAGGTCCAGGGGAAGGTTACCCCTCCCCCGAGCAGGGGAAGGAAGGGGAAGAGAGAAGACCAAACTCGTTATACCACCGTAGCCCTAAAGGGCTGGTGGGACTTCCACCTATAGACTTCCAGCCTCCATCAGCTCAGCACTCCGACCTCTAGCGTCCGGCATCCGACTTTCCACCTTCACCTCCACTCCAGCGTCCACCAACTCTGCGCCCTGAGCCCCGCCCCGGGCGCTACCGCGCACTCGCCTCGCCTCGCCTCCGCTCGCACAATTCCCACACACCTCATTGAACAATTGTGTTCTCGCCCGCGCCCAGGAACATCGTAGGTGCAAGGATCAAAATTAGAAGGCGAAGCGCAGCGAGCCTTAAAATCTTGTATATATATATATATATATACACGCCCGTCGTGGCCCCCAGTCGCTCGAGACCTCAGTGGCCCCATTGCTGCCCTTCGTGGCCCCGCTGCTGCCATCAGTGCCCCCTTCGCTGCCCTTTGTGGCATATATATATATATATGTATGTATCTGTATAGGTATATGTTGATGTATGTGCATATACAGATATGTGTGTATATATATATATATATATATATATATAATATATATATATATATATATATATCTCCTTCGTGGCCCCCAGGTCTCTCGTGCCATCAGTCGCCCCATAGCTGCCCCTCGTGG